TCGGAGAGCAAGCCGGAGAGCACCCTGCTGCCCCCCAGGCTGGAGCAGCTGGGCGCCCTGGAGCAAGAGGTCAAGGAGGAGGTCAAGGAGGAAAAGCCCCAGATCCCAGGTACTGCTCTTCCCGCCACAGAAATACAGCCGGAGCCCCAGTAGCCCTCGTTTCCGCCACAGTCGCGTTTTTCCACATGAATAGTGTGCGAGGAACGTGCTGGCGGACCACATCGCAGAGCAGCCTGGGAAGGGGGAAGTGCGCGTGAACTGGTGAACACCAGGTACCGTCGGGTCGGGTCGGGTCATGTCGAGTGGTTAGTGATGTGAGAAGGAACTGCAGGCTAGCATAGCCTGGTACTCTGAGTGTTGGCGAGCCTCTCGCAAGCAGAGACAGAGTGGCTGTCCAGGCCCAGAGCTGAGCATCTGCCCTGTATAACTGCTCTGCCCCTCTGTGCCCCCCTCAGCTCTCCTGGGAGAGGGCTATACGGAGGAGCCCCCGTTCTCCACCCCCCTGGCCACGTGCGAGGTGCCGGAGAGCCTGCAGGAGGCCCGCGAGCCCACCATCGCCCAGCTGCTGCAGGAGAAGGCGCTGTACTCCTTCTCCGAGTGGCCCAAGGTAGGTACAGCGTGGGGCTCTGGGACCCAGGCTGTGCCGATGTACCCGGGGCATCCGAGAGCAAACGGGCACAAGTATGTCCTCATGCACCTGGGAGCGTGCTGCAGAGATGGGGTCGTCGTTCAGGAGTTTCTGATGAATACATCTTTAACTTACAACTGCAGCTGTCCTGATTCTGTGGTGCTGTCTGTTGGATGACCTGAAGTAAAAGGTGGGAGTTTAGGTAAAAGGGCAGTAATTATGAAAGGACAAGCCCAGCTGTCATTGTTCTGTTCTGTCTGCAAGATTCAGCCCAGGGAAGAATTAGAATTTGGCTGTGCTTCCAGTGCAGGTCTTTGGCAAGAGCAGCTATACAGCTGATCTCCCAGCCAGCGGGTGGAAGACTGGCACGAGACTGCTCCTGGGCGTACAACATGAAAGCATGTCTTCTTTCAGGACCGCGTGATCATAAACCGCATTGACAGCATCTGCCACGCCATTCTGAAGGGGAGGTGGCCCTCCTCCAGCCAGCAGTTCGACTCTCCCAGCTCGCTGTCGGCGCCCCCTCTGCCCAACAGCGCCCCGAGGAGTAACTACATCCCTGCACGGGTGCAGTCAGCCCAGAGCCTGAACTTCGGCCTTGGGGCTCCCGTCTCCCACCTCTCCAAGGTATTTATCAGCTCTTACAGGTTTCAGTTCCAGAAGGTTAGGTGGTTGTCCTGACAGCTGAAGCCTCCGTCGGGCTGCATAGACATGATGATTCCGGGGTGAGCTGCGATCAGTGCCTCGTCTCGTTGCAGGAGAGCCTGGGGGGGGTGCACTTCCTGCCCGAGCTGAAGAGGAGTCGTCGGGCATTTGAGTACGATGGCGAAGGAGGCGCCAAGCCGGGCCGTCCCGAGAAGATCCCGGTGGCGCACAGGGGGTCTCTGGTCCTGAACGGCTGGCAGGAGGCGGCCATGGACCTGTC